TAAGCTGAGTTTCGCATAAATCGACGTTGATCCGATCAAATTATAGCGTGCGATGTATATTTTCCGGTAAAAGATGTATAAGATCTTGAGAATGCGCTCGTCCCATCTTGTCATCGCAATGTGAATGGGTATTGAGGCTGCGAGTGCTTGTTTTCTCTTTATGATCTCGATGGCCTCCATGTGTATTTGCCGACACGTACTAAGGAGGGCGATTCCCACTTGAGCGATCTGAAGAGACAACCCGGGCTTTTTTGTAGCAAAGATCTCTCGGCATTCGTGGCGGAAGACTTCGTTCGGGATGTGCTCGTATACCATCACCCGGAGTTCGGCTGGAAGGTCGAGAAACCTGAAGGCATCGGGACCGGGAGAGGGCAGGCGCGACATTGTTGTTGTATATAGCTCGAAAAAGCTTGAGGGTGTTTGGAAGCAAAAATGAGAGGTGTTCGAATGCAAAAGATGCAAGAAAGGTTTGATGCAGATATTGTAGCTGTGTGTAATCGAAAGACTCTGGTTCTCGCATACTGACGCCCGTGGTTGAAGCGACCTGTGCCGACTAATCGTCAACTTGCTAACATCACTATGACCCTAGCAACCCAGTCATAGCAGCGACCAATCAAATCCCAAAATGCCATACGGTAGATAGGATGACTCAGAGCTCGGACCTTTGTCTAGCGTACCCTAAAGATCTACGATCTACTTGCGAGCTTGCGCGGTTGACCTTTGGGTTTCGGCGCTGAAGTAGACTCCGTGGCATCACCGTCAGGCTTTGAATCCAGTTCTTTCTCACGCTGAGCCAGGGCCTTTTCTCTCTCGTCTAGTTCTGCCTGTCGTCGATCAAGATCACTTTCTCGTTGGTCGAGTTCCTTTTCCCGGTCATTCTGCGAATCCGCGTTTTGTGTATCGGGTTTTTCGCTTGCGTTAGATGCTCCACCAGCATCATTACGTATGCTGTCTGTCTCGACTGATTGTGGTTCGCTATCATCTTGCTTCGCATTCAGCTTCCGTGGCTTCTTGCGACCTTGAGCGTCGCTCTTTTGTGCTGAATCTCCGCTCGGTGGCTCTTCAGACTGATTCGCACTGGGCTTCGAGTCCGAATCGCCGCCCGTAGCTTGCGCACCAGCCTTCGCAGCGCCTGACACCTCTTTCTGATCTGGCATCATGCCCTTCGCACTCTCCATCCAACCCTCGTCAATCTGACCTCCACCTCCCTCACTCTTGAACTTCTCAAGCTCTTCAGTCCCGGGCATCTCTTCTTCGTTAGCTTGTCCCATCATCTTTTCCAGCGTCTTCTTCTGCTCTTCGCTCGCTGCCCATTGTGGGAGGAAACTTGTGAGTTTCTTCATCCCCTTCCCTGCTACTTTGCCCATGTTCACCCATGGGCCGTGAAGCGCACCTGTCGCTCCACCTACTCCAGCTCCTATCCCACCAAGCAGAGTTGAAGAGATGCCGCCAACCAAAGTCCCGGTGATTGCGCCTAAAGTGGCACCGGGCGCGACACCAAGGCCTGTGCCCATTGCCATGCCCTGAAAAGCGCCCGAACGAAGATATTTTGCGGTCTTTCCAAATGACTCAGCCTCTATGTGTGCATTTGTAGCTTCTTCTGTCAGCCTTTCCCGTTCGTCTGGGTCGCTGGCGGCAGCTGCTGCATCTTTCAATTCTTTGGCTTTCTTTTGCGCGGCGAGGGCAGCATTGGCGGCTTTCCCAGATTCTTGCCGCACCTCTTCTTCGGACACGGCGGGCTTGTTAGATTCTTTGCTCTCTTCATCTTTCTTGCCCCCATCTTTGTTCAACTTTTTCGGAGGCATGATTGTTAGTTGGTTTTCTCAGAATTGTGGCGGCTGCAGGGTATCCCCTGGCGTACGTCATTGACGCTAGCTTCCCCACTCGAGAACCTGAATTGGACGCGTTCAGGACGCGCGACGACCTTGCCATGTTTTCAATTGCACATCGCGTACTACCGGCGTTCTGGATACGACTTCTATCGTAACGGCTGTTGAATCATTCGATCCATCGTGATGCAAGGCATGAGCCGACGATGGTCGTTCCACACGCGAGGTCGATGATGACCTGCTCATCAGTCAAAGGTTAGTATCAGATGGACAACGCAATTTGTGTGCAGGCTTTCATATTAACACAGGACAGGAACTAGCTAGAAGGCGCGGCACATGCGGCCGTCAGTTCGAACAGTCCAGGCTTCGCTGCCAACGCCGACAGTGGCGTAGAATAGACTTGAAGGATCCCATTTCTTCTTGATCGTCAACAGCCTGGCGTAGTTCTGACCCCAGAACGTATCCTGGAAATTCGGTTGACGGAAATCGGCCTCGTTCACGTACGATCCGCTACCAGGTGTTGCAGCCTCAACAAGAGGAATAATCTCGTTCGTCATCTTGTCTTGGGATGCGAAAGCCTCTGACCACGGAGCTGTGAAGTTCCATGGAAGTGTCAAGGTCGCGTGCACGATTGCCTTGCGCCACGCCGGGTGGACTGACGTTGTTTTCTCCGAACCAAACGCCTTCACATCTGTTCCGACTCCGATCCAGGTCACTCCCTTCTCTACGACAGCCTTCCAGGTTTCGGAGATGTTGCCCACAACACTTCGTGGGATCAAGCGAGTACCGTACTGGGCGATGCCGACCTGGATGTTGCCGAGAGGAAGGGGGCCGAAGTACTTGTCGTAGTGCTCATAGTACGTGTCGAATTCGCTGTATTCAGCGGTGTACTTGACGCCTTTCGAGTCCAGCCTAGCGACGAAAGGCGCAAGCATGGCCTTGACTTCGGCTTCCGTCTTGTTGTAGGCGTTAAGCGGGGAGATCATGAAAAATGAAGACGTGAAGTAATGGACCACCATTGCTCCGGCATCTACCATGGCAGGCAGCTCCTCGTGGAAAGCTTGGATAGCATCATAGAACACGTCCTGGTCGTTGTCCGTGGTGAAGAACGACAGTGAAGCGCCGCCGAAAACAGCTTCCTTGTGCGCTTTGACAGTCATCCCAACCACAACGCCGTAGGTGCTGCCACCGCCGCCGTTGAGAGCCCAGTACAGATCCGCGTTTTCCTTCACATTCGCATTGACAAGCTTCCCGCTTGCTGTTACGACTTCCCAATTCAGTACGTTGTCGGCAGCGAGGCCGAAGCTAGTACTAATAGCCGAATGTCCACCACCCTGTGTGTAACCGCCAGCGATGCCAACAGTAGGGCATTCGCCTCCAACCACGACCAAGCCTTTGTCTCGGGAAGCAGCCATTAGTTCGAAACCTTGAACGCCGGCACCAATCTTAAAAGCCGGGCCATTGTATTCTGAACCCATGAACGTCGAAACATGGGTGATTTCCTTGAGATGGTGTGTCCACACCGCTAGTGAGCCCGCGCCTGTGGAACGACCGAGATAATCATGGCCCGTGTTGCGGATGACGAGACGAATGTTCTTGGAGGCAGCAAACGCGATCGCTCGCTGGACGTCTGCAGGCCCGGACGCATCCACAGCGTAACGGACGTAATTCCCGAGCTCACATGGGCGGTCTCGAGGCTGGAAGGGATCGCAGCTCTGGTTGGCAAAGAAAGGTGCCATTACAGATGAAGACGATTCATAACTGACTCAACGTTAGAGCGACGTCTTCAAAGCACATGTTTGGAACATACTGAATCTTCTCAAACTGCCAATCCTTCTTCAGACTTTCACAAGTCGCGTCGTCGAAAGTCGGAACGTGGCAGGGAGCTCCGAGTGGTACGGTTGCCACTAGACGTCCGCCTACTGTCTTGTTCAAGTTGTTCCACTCTGCTTGCGAAGGCCATGACTTGTCTCCTGGGAACGATTTGCATTGATTGGGGGTTGGGTTAGCAGAAACGACGCCAAGAAGCGCGAGGACTGGGATGTAGGAACGCATTTCCAGGGCATAGAAAAAGATAAAGTTCTGCGACCTGGAAAATGTCAATCTCCCAGACGTACGGATTAATATAAACAGAAATTCAGGCTCCCTGCATGCGCCGCGCTTGACAGTGGCGAGCAAGCTAGAGCAGTTGTGGGACTACAAATCTAGTGTCCGGTGGGGTGGACCGTCCCGGGGTGATACCGCGACCCCGTTTTGTGGCCGTGGCGCCGATTGCCTTGGATCTGAGTCTACGCGAAAAAGACCTCTGACAGCGATATGCAGAGGACCACAGGTTGTTGAAGGAGAGCGCGCCTCATCATGAACAAGCAATCGATGGATAGCTGTCGTGTCGTCGAAGTCGCCGTGCTGGTGCGGGACGGCGACTTTGCCATCAATTGGAAGCTGGGGCTTGCACTGGACCTTCGGCATCTATCAACAGGGATCGCGCACGGCTTTGCTGCATTGAGAAACCTCCGATGCAGCCGAGCACGTCCACCGCGAGGGCGGGTCGGCGGCTCTCCAGGCGAGATGCAATCGTCCCATATCGTCTTTCTAGACCCTTAAAATTAGGAGATATCTCACCGAGCAGTGCCGAAGCCGTTTCCCGTTACCGTTACCAATATACCTTGGTATTATTTGGTCTAGCTTTAAGAAGAAGGTCTTTTCTGTCGGCCAACACTTGGGCTGCATTGCAACCATGTGCGTTAGCTGTTAGGCTACTATAACTTCGGACAATACTGGGAATATTTACAGGTTTCACCTCGTATGAGAGTCTCCTTTGCTATCGATCAAGGCACGCTTTCCTGACGGGGTTATGATAGACCGGGTAAGGGCCGCGCTGAATCCTACGCGGTTTCGTCCTCTTGGACTGCCAATACGCTGGGAACGGTCGGAAATGTGTAGACGCTGAATCGCAATGCCTAGTATTCTGATGTGTTCTCTCCCAAAGGCGAAAAGTCTACCACCTCAATCAAGAGAGAGCTAAACACCCTAAGACCTATATTGACGCTACGTCCTCTTATTTGCGCATTGCCGTCCTAACGTAGGCTTCAGGCCTATTCGGTTTTTAACCTGAGCAAAGTACAACTCAATCCCTATTCTGAACGAAACCGCCGTGAGCAAGCCAGTACGATGGGCTGGACCTACAACACTCCCGATGATATCGCCAACGAGGGGCCGCAAATTACCGCAATCGCAATCGTGTTCACAGCAGTGTCACTGTTGGTTCTGACCCTTCGTTTCTATGTGCGCGGATGCATAACCAAAGCCATTGGAGCCGGTGAGTAACATGGCACCCAGCTTTTCCTCGACACATAGCTAACGCATCTATCATCGCTAGATGACTGGATACTAGTTGTGACTTGGGTAAGCAATTCGGGTCCCTCCTGTAGTTATGGGACTGACAGTCGCGCAGATAGCATCTTGTGGCTTCGCTGTCGTAACAATCATCCGTACGTTGGCTGCACAAGTGCTGTGATATCGAGACTGATGGTGCGATACCAGAAACCAAATGGGGACTCGGACTCAAGCATTTGAAGGATATGCCCGATGAAAATCTCTTCAACTTTGGACTTGTAAGTCTTGCCCGCACAAGTGAACACATTCCAATCCTGACCGGACTAGATACAGTACATGGGTGCACCATTGTAAGACGATAATTGCGACACGACCACGATACGCCTCTCTGACATTCGCAATAGCTACATCACCAGTATACTGGGCTTCAAACTTAGTCTGCTGTTGACCTATCTACGTATCATGCCAAAGGGCGCGTCGCGCAACGCTACCATCACCGTAATAGTCGCATGCATACTCTTTCACCTCTGCTTCCTGGTCGTGCAAACGAACCTCTGCCAGCCGGCTGCGAAACAATGGGACCCTTCCATCACCTGGGGCCAGTGCCTGCCAGCCGTGCCCTTCTACACCAGCATGGCATCTTTGACCATCGTCTTCGACATAGTAGTGTAAGTACCTCTTTTTCAAACGCCGGCAAAAGCTTACTTCGACAGCATGTTCCTACCCTTCCCCGTCCTCCTCAAGAGCCACATCCAAAAGCGCAAGAAAGTCGCCCTGCTGTGCCTCCTGGCCCTAGGCACGTTCATCACGATCATCCAGGTCCTACGCATCCGAACTGTCCGAAACCTCGCCAACTATCTCGACTCTAGCAGTCTCATTATGTGGTCGACTGTTGAGAACAACTTGGGTATCATCGTCGCGTCGGTACCGACACTGGCACCCCTCTTCAAGTCATTCGTTGAGAAGACACAAAAGAGCTCATATGGGAACTCGGCAACAAGATCAAAATCTTTGTACGCCCTAAGGTCGAGACGCAGTACCAGGCAAGGTTCTATCCCACTTGGGAGCGGTGTCCATCAAGCGACGCATGTGTCTGGGCCTTTTGAGAGAGAAAGCGAGGAATTCATAATGAGCGATGTCGCTGCTATAACAAAGAGAACCGAGGTGACTGTTTCTTCTCGTGTTCGGGAAGATTTGAGCGGGCCAAATAATTAGTCACTGTCTTCGCATTTGGTTCAATATCATACTACCGCATTGATGATCTTCCCAGGGGAAGCCTGTACTCCATGTATCATTACGATTCTGTCTTATTGGATGCGATTTGTCACTCGGATGACAGAGCAGCGGCTAACAGAAACGAGAATTCCAAGGCATCCTCAATGGAAGTTGATATCACAGGACTAGTACTGCAATGATTCAGAGACAACGAGCCAACCAAACTCTCCGCATTCCATAGGACCCAGATGCAAAGAGATGGTTTCTAACGAGAAGTATCGTAACCTTGAGGTACGGGGAACCTTGCAGAATTTACAGCTGCTGACTTCATCGGTGCGTGGTGGAAGTTCGTGGGCGTGGTAGGCTTTTGGGAGAACTCCGAGGACTGTGCGCTCTCCAAAACGTATGGTCCACCATCAGTATTCATGCTATACATGCTCATGCTCATGCTATCAGAGCTAAAATGAGCACTGTTTGAACCAACAGATCTCGTCTCCTCCTCGTCATACAATGTTCTAGGCAGCGCAAAATGTGCAAGCTCTCTAAGATGCCTAATAAGGTGCCCACGAAAAGTATACGAATCCATGCACAGTGGACACAGCTTTTCCCCTAATAACCTATCGCAACAAGCTAACTACAACTTCCGAAATCTATATGTACCTATCTAATTAGGTCCTCTCGAAAAGAGAAGTATCGTTAACACAAGAGCTGAATAGTGATAGTGGTAGCGTACCCGCAACAAGCGAATCAATCCATGGATCCTACAATTATCGCTTACTATAACGCAGTTGATTGGGTACGCCACCTAGTCCGAGCACAGATCATAGCGAATGCGAGTGTATATGTCCCATGGTACTGCGATGACGCAGAGCGAAACGAGCCACTTACAACTTCCGCAACATCGACGACCCAGACGAAAAGATACTCTCACCCATGAGAGAAACCGCAAGTATAATATACTGCCGAATGTATATATATACCTCACTCCAGTCTTCACAAGGCTTCACTCAATTCTTTACCCAACATGCAATACACAAACACACACCCATCCATGGCCGACATCAAAGCCCCGTCAGACAACGCCATAATTGTCGATCGAGAATGCTACTGGGATTGCTTCCCAGAAGAGGACGCAGAAACACAAGAGTTCTACAGACAATCAATAGAACATTGCGGTCCCGACCGACACCGTGAGCCCGGAAGATACTTCCCAGTTATCCGAGTCCCGGCAAGCCAACTATTGCAGCCTCTCTCAGTCAGATCTGTATACGAGCATTGGTGTGAAACCGGTAAGATTGCGACAATACAACCAGGTTATACCGAAAGAAATCTTGACACCAAAACGATGCTGGCCGCCTATCGATTCGGCCTTGAAATGAGCCGCGCGCGGTGCGCCGACTTTCGCGACGCCATCATGGATGCACTAGCTGAGAATTTCGACGCGCAAACAGGCTCTGATATAGGCTTGTTTCATGGCGTCTTCAAAGCGGTGGAGAACGTGCCTAATTCCAACCTGGAACGCCTTCTCGCCTTTCATATCGCGCTGAGCACGGATCCCGGATGCTTCAACTCCATCTTGGCCAGAACAAACAAGCAATTTTTGCACCACGTCCACGAACAGATAAAGACATTCCCCAAAGGAGTGCGCTACTACGATATCTGGGACGACTTCATGCTCAACAACCGCTGCAAATTTCATGAGCATCCGACCGGAAGATGCTGGAGGCCGGCAGAATCGGGGCCCGAAGTCGCGCCACCGGAACATCCAGAGGCGGTGGCAAGGCGGGCACGGATGTGGAAAGCAAAGGAGGTTGAAGAGGTGGATCTTGGGGACATTGACTGGTTTAGGCTCTAGGGCTAGCCAGGTTAATGCATCAAAATCTCTTCAATCTTTTCCTGACTTCGATCATAGCCAACTACAAGGGGTTCTCATGTTGCGGGGAGGAGTATAATACAATAGCGCCGAGGTTCTCACAGTTATTCTGCCTAGGCGAATGCTTTACAGAAATCTCCACGTATTCCTCAAGCCTGCTTATGCACTTTCTTTTTTCGCACTTTCGCTGTAACGTAGGCGCCTGGGTACTTGTCACGGAGGCAGGTTTTGGACGTGTGTAAGCCAGCAAAATGAGACATCGCAAACATTACGGACAGGCAGATTGAATCAGGTGATGAATCTCGCGCAAGGCAGAGGATAGTTCAGTGTAAGCTGGAAAAGATAGCATAATGGGTATGTAGGCGCAAAGATCTCGGTCAGGCCGGAATAGTGATGAAAGCTGCAGAACAAACGTAAATCGTGGCGTGTCGATGCAGTCAGAATACCGCGCTGGATATTTGAATGGGGAAGTGGGAAAAGCGCCGCTATTACAAACATACGGTCGTTACAAGGGCATAATTGGAGGCATCGGGCACATCGGTACAACGCCTCTACTGGCAGTCACAGATGCGTATCCTTCTTTGATCTGATGAAGTTAGCGATGATCCCGCGACATTTCGGATCTCCCCTCATACCCTATCGAAATGGGTGGTGGTCCGGAAAGCGCCACCATTTGTTTCAGGCCCATCACTCCAATAAAGGCGTCTCAACCACGCGTGAAGACGCGGATAGTCCAACCGTATCATCTTCAAGTTGCATTTGAAGAAGGGATAGTACGCCACGTCGAAGCGGATGAGCGTTGTGTATAAGCGAACGTCGGCCTCGGTGATATGTTGCCCAAAAAGGTAGGGGTAGTGCTTGGGTTGTGAGAGATGCTCCTCCAGACGATCCAGCGACTGGAAGAGCTTGCGGACATGTTCATCATAGGATGCCTGCGATGTCGCGAAGCCGACCTTGTACACGCCGTTGTTAATCGTGTCGAATACCCATAAGAGAAGGCAATCCATCTCTTTCAGAATATGCGGGGGTCTGAAGGCAGCCACACCCTTGTTGACTTCGCGACGCTCCGGAGGAAGAAGAGGGTCGAATGCGTCGAACAGGATGCGGATGATGTCGGCGCTATCGTTGTTGACGGCAGTACCTAAACGATGTTAACCCACAATCTATTTCTCCAACCTTCAAACTTATTTACCCTGGCGTTGATCCCACAGCAAAGGGATGGTGATTCTCCCGTTGAAGCTTGGATCTGCCTTCAGATAGATCTCTTTCAGGCATCTCGCGCCAGACACGGGGTCTTTCTTGGGCCCGCTACGCCCAGAGAAGAACCAGCCATGTGATGCGTCCCTTGCATCGACCTCGACCAAGTCTATGACATCCTCGAGCCCCTTCAAAGCGTGTACGATGGTGGTTCGGTGTGCCCAGGGACAGACGTAGTTGATGTACAGCACGTATCGGCCCTTTTCGACAGGGAAGCGCTCGGATGGTATGGTATGTCGGAACTGCGAAGGCATATGGTTCCACTGCCCGTTGGCATCAACAGTGTAGCGAGGAATTAGCTATGCAAAGAGGTCAGTAAGCGTGGGGTGAGCATGCCCAGGAGAAGTCTGGAGAAAAAATGCCTAATCAAACCTTCGAAACCATCATAGCCGGTGGCTTTACGACTCCCTCGCTGAAGCTACGCAAATTAACTCCGAGTACATCTTGTCCGCAGAGGACAATGCCATAGCGCTGTTTTAAGGGAACCAGCTTTTTCCATTGTAACCTGGTGATTACAAAACAGTAGGAGGCGGGCAAGGGCGACTCTGATTAGTATAGCACACCGTACGCGAGCGGCAGCTTCTTCGGGTTGGCGAGCTGCCAAGTGATTACCGAAGCGCATCAGGCGCTCCGACAAGCCTTGTGGCGATGGTGTTACAGATGGTCGATGGTTTTTGTCAAATATCAGAATGGCTTCATTGCGATGCGGTCGACGAGGGCATGTGAGGGTTGAGCTCGTGCCATGCATCCCGCCGATCAGCCGAGGCCTGCTTAAGCGATGGTTTAGCTTCAATGCGGCGCACGCGATCCGTCTGTCTTCCTCAACCACCCAACCTGCGTCGCACAGCGTGCAGCTGTACTTCCTTTTTGTGATGTCTATTACAAATCCCGATGACACCGACGCTTGCGATGGGTACAGCTACCGCTGGTGTAGCGAACATGACTGGTATCGTATTGATGCGCCAGCAGGAGATGGGATCGCGGAATCTCGGCCGTTCAGTCATCACGCTCCTCGACGACAATCTCTCAGCGCGCGCGAGATGCGATTGGCTACCACGTTTCATAAAAGCACCGCTATACGAAGTACGCGTTGTTCACATCCGCCGAGCATACCCGTCGGAAGGAAGCGGTCGCACCACTGTTAGCTTGTATACGTCAGTACAAAGACTAGCCTCCTAGCACTGCCTGTGCTTAATGGACGTCGTTTGGAAGCGCGACACGTCGGCTGGATTCGCGAAAGGCCTTGAACGCAACGCGTTCGAGAGCATCACATACATGGCATGGGGCTGAAGGACGCGTCAAGTTTTCATCGTCGCATCCTCTATACAATTGCCAAGAGAAACGTCACCAGTCATCGTGCGAGCTGAGCTTCTCAGACTCGGCCTATAGAGCAATCTGCGGCTCTTCGGAAGGACACAGTTGACCGCCATCGCAGCAGGTCCGAATCGCGACGTTGAGCAGGACATGCACACGTCTTTACACGATGACAGTGAAGTCAGGCTAGACTGCTGTTTCTCGCTGCTGCGTCAATGGAACAGTACGTGGTTCGGGCTCATACATAACCCTTGACGTGGAGGTTTATCTTCTTTCGCGAGAACTCCACTCCCTCTCTTTGCTCTAGGCCTTTGATGCTTCTGACGTGCAGTCCATGCAAACTTGGCCAGAGTCACGATTCTTTCGCAAATGACGATCAGAGAACCTGACAGCAGGTCTGAGTGCTGATCTTTTGCGAAGATCTGGCTTCCCAGCGGCTATATTGAGCAACTAACGAAACGCTTGCCGCGGCTCAACTCATCACCAGGTTATTTACCGAAGTATCATCCGAGACTCTTGGTCCCCACTAACATGCATTCGATTTCCCCAGATTTTCTCCTCAATCAGTATTTTGCCAATCAACCATTAATCTAGTTCGGTCTCCTTGGCGGTCTTCCCCATCTATTCAAGTATCGTCAATGGGTCAGATCGACGACGACGCGGCAAACCTGACAGAATGGGCTTTGCGCAAAGGACTAGCATTGTTCATACGCGTACCGCTAGATCTTCATATATAAGATGGGTGTATGAAAAGGACTGTCGCTGAAATAGCGACCACGACTCGATGACCCACCTGGACTTGCTGCCGATATGCTGAATTCCGCCCTGCTCTCGCTGTTTGGCCTTGTGCCCAGCGTCTTGAATGTCGCTCTGGCACAGACGTTCACGCCCGCACCTGGAAACTTCCCAGCTAAAGGTGATGGCGACTTCGCAGGCGGTATCTTCTCCATATCCCTCTCCGAGCTACCCAAATATACCGGCGCTGGTGGAACCGGCCCTGAGTCCCCCAAAGGAAATGGCGCGAAGACGTCTGGCTCGGGACCCTACCCAGCGCAAATGTTGACCGACTCTACACTACCGAGACACACCATCTTCGCACCGAAGACCCCTCCGACTGGCAACCTTAGTCTCCCTTTCATCGCATGGGGTAACGGCGGATGCGGCCTCAATGCCGGTATCTACGAGCGGCTGTTGGTAGAAATCGCCAGTTATGGATACGTTATCGCTGCAGACGGTACACCTGACGGCTCTGGATTTCAAGCTGGTCAACAGTCCAAGGTACAAGATATGCGCGACTCGCTGGACTGGGCTTTCGCCGGCAAAGCAAAGAAATACGGAAACGTCGACTTGACTAAAGTCACGACGGCAGGCCACAGCTGTGGAGGTCTAGAGTCCATGTCGACCGCGTACCACGATGACAGAGTCAAGAGAATCATGCTCTTCAACATTGCCATCTTCCAGGATGACCGGAGGTACCTACTCAAAGAGCTCAAAGTGCCTATGGTGTATTTGATTGGAGGACCGAAAGACATGGGGTACAATACCGTGAGTCTAACTTGAAGACCAGACAGATCCCGGTCTCTATCAATGCTAATTCTCGATAGTCGGCGAAGGATTACGCTCTCCTAAACACGGGTACTCCCAAGTTGAGGGCCAACCTCGATACTGGCCACGACGGCACCTTTGCAGCTACGAATGGTGGAAAACAGGGCAAAGCGGCTGTCGCGTACCTGGAATGGCAGTGGAGGGGCAATGCGACTGCTCAGGCATACCTCCTTGATGGCGGCTTGGAGAAGGATAACTGGGTTGAAGAGCATGCCAACTGGTCCTGAGATACAGTTTTTGTTCGGGTGACAGAACTCGCTGTGTACCACAGGCTAGGCGAAAGAAATCTATGCGCAAAGAAAGTGGAAGGCCTTTGGAGCATCAGCATTGTACCGGTGAACAATCCTGTGGTGGCGCGTTTCTCGAGCTGTGGTGCGTTGCTAGGCGGAGGCTGTGAGCTGCAAAGCTGAACGAACACGAGGTCAGGTGTCTAGGCAAGGCACATTCATCGAACAAAAAATGCGCAATCGTGAATATAAATATGTGAAATGCAGAACATACACGCAAGGGATAACACCGCAGCATTGTTCGAGCCTCGCAGTGCATGCACAGGAGTCGCCCAGAGCCCACGTCATCGCCCTCACCCATAGCAACCAGCGACCAACGCCAACGCCAAACAGTTCAACCAGGAACGCCCATCCCTAGCCCTTAAACCGCCTAACTCAGTCGGTACCCGTTCTCGCCCTCTATTAATATCCACCAGCGCCGCTACAGTGTGGTTGCCGGGTTAGGCACAAACCCTGCAGAAGCGAAGAAGCGGGCTGCGCGGCGGGGACGCGACTGGGCAGTTTGGCAGGCTTGCGGGATCCACCAAGCAGTGAGGCTGAGACTCGAACCGTGTCTGACATCGACGCTGCGCCCTTCCATTGTTGTCCGAGGAGCCTACGACATTCTTTCGCGGTTCTGTTTTCGCATCTCCTTACGCATACGATTCCAGGACGTTGTTTGTTGTTTGGCAATTTGCGTGACGCAGAGAGCAGACTCGGTAGAACCGGAGGCTACCCGTATTGACGTATCCGCTGTCTGTTTACGCTCACCCTTCTGGTCCTTCCGCGCACTTCCACGCATACTACGACTTTGAGATCGGGGAGACAGACACATACACACAAGATGCGGATACCGCAGTCGTATATCCAGAAGTGCAAGGTGGTGGCACATGTCTTCCAGGCCATCTTCGTCTTCATAGCCGCGTGTCTTACCATCGCTGTTATGACCAAGGATGGCCCCGTTGAGGGTCCTACAAAGTATTTCTTTGCTATGGTAAGTTGCGCTCTGTTCTTCCTATACAGCATCGTCTTCAAGATGATCTCTTACGTCAACATGGACATGACTGACAAAGGGTTGCTCGCAGTGCTTCGTCTCCATTCCCGCCATAATCTACCTCACAATGGTACCCATGTGGTCGCGCGCCCAACGCTTCGCCTCCGCCTACGCTTTCCTCGCCGTCGACGCTTTATACACTATCCTGTGGTTCGCCGCCTTCATCTCGGTGGCCATGTGGAACGCCCACGGTATCAAAGAGGGAGCCAAGAAGGAGAAGATTGCAGATGACGACCGCAACTGCACAACATTCTTATACGGAGATGAGGCCAAGTGCAAGGTCAGCAAGGCCGCTGTAGGCGTCGGTGTTATGGTCTTGTAAGCACCCTTGCAACCTCGGTGTCGAGTAGATCAGAACGTCTACTAACCCTCATACAGCCTCTTCTTTGCCATCACAACCGGCGTATCCGGCTACTACCTCCACAAATACCTCCGCGAAGGCGTCATGCCCTACCAATCCTCATCAGAAAACACGCACTACGCCTCCGGCGACTCCGCCTACAACAACCCGAAAGACGCAGCCTGGTCGACCGAGATCGAAACCGCAAACGGCCGCGACTCCTCAGACTCGCTCGATCGCCGCACCGACCGCGGCGGGAACCAAGAAGAAGACGAATACGCGTTGCTGCACAGCACGGAAACAGATGAGGGGAGGCACCCAGGCCGGCCGCTGAGCTGGGGCGAGGATAGGAACGGAACATATGGCAGCGGTGGCAGGGGAGCTGTGCCTCCGTATGCAGAGTACAGAGACAGCAGTGCGAGCATAGCTGCCGGCGTGGACGCTTTGAGTCCGGGCGGATATGAAGAATTTAGAAGGGAGGCTGCTGCGGGGCCTCTTGGTAGTATGGGTATGGATAGAGCGCCGAGCCACAGTGGGAGTGGGTACAGCTTTAGTGGTGGACCGGAGCGGTTGAACTAGAGGTAGACTGTGGATAGGACAGTAACGTCGCATTGTTTCTGCATATGAGCGCTTCTTTTGCTTTCGAGCTGTTAGATCACCTTGCATTGGGATTGCGGTTGGGTTAGGCGTTGTCTCTTGGACTTGGTTCATGCGTTGTCTGCGCTTTAGCGAATTGCTTTTATATACGAATACTCATCTCTTCGCATAGCGCTCCACAACACGTTGAGTCTCGAAATCTTCCATA